CTTAGATTATGGGGCCATTGTTTATCAGTCAGCGACTCAAAGTGCTTTGAAGATGCTGGATCCCGTGCACCATTCGGGCATCCGCCTTTCTACGGGTGCTTTTCGCACCAGCCCCGTAGAAAGCCTTTACGTTGAGTCAAATGAGTGGTCGCTTCATCTGCAAAGAACCTACATGTCCTTTGTATATTTCCTAAAGGTGAAAGCAGACAAGAGGCACCCCTCATACTCCCTATTAATGACTTGTCGAGCTCCATTCTTTTTCAAAACAGGCCTTCAATGAGGCAGCCCTTCTCAGTTCGCCTGAAGGGTCTAGCTGAGGACACTGGAGTGTCACTCGAACATAGTTTAATGGCTCCTGTAGCATACCCGCCACCGTGGCAGTGGCAGACTATAGATTGCGATGTGTCTTTTTTAGAAGTTACTAAACATGCGCCTATTGCCCATATTCGAACATACTTCTTGGAACTTCAACACAAATACACACGTCCTGAGTTTTTTACAGATGCCTCTAAGTCTAACTCCTCTGTGTCCTACGCTACTGTTGGCCCTTCCTTTTCGGATGCTGGCCCTCTACATCCAGGCACAAGTATCTTCACAGCGGAAGCTTACGCGATACTTGTGGCAGCTAAACACATCAAACAATCACAAATACAAAAAGCAGTAATTTATACAGACTCCCTCAGTGTGGTAACGGCTATGCACAGTCTTAAAAAACAAAAAAACCCTGTCCTCGTTTCACTTTACTCCATTTTATGCACCCTCTACACACTCAACAGACATGTTGTTGTGTGCTGGGTGCCAGGGCACCGTGAGATTCAAGGCAACGTGATGGCGGATCAGCTTGCTGCATCCGTCCACGAAAGCACCGCCATTACACCGACATCAATCCCGGCCCTTGATCTTAAGCCGTCTCTCAAATGAAAACTCAGGGACTACTGGCAGAGCAAGTGGGATACACACACACAAAACAAACTACACGTTATCAAGCCACACCTTGGCCATTGGCCACCAGTACCAAAATCACGTCTAACAGAGGTAACACTAACAAGACTCAGGATAGGACACCTATACACGACACACACACATCTTTTGTCCGGTGGTGATCCACCATTGTGTGATAAATGTGGTGAGGCATTAACAGTTCTTCACGTTTTAATTCAATGTAAACATTTAGACACTCTAAGAAGACAACACTTCCCACCATCCTACCGACAACATATACCTTTACACCCTGCAATGTTCGTCGGTAGGGAACCGCTTTTTAGTCACAAATCATTATTAGCGTTTTTAAAGGAAATTCATAATTTTCATATCATATACCCGGGCATACCGTAGCACAACCTCTCTAGAGAGGTTTTTGCTGCGGTGGCTACACAGGAAAGCACTTGCCTCACGGCCCTTGCACGCAAGGGTACTAACGTGTGAGGTACTTGTGCTAATGCCATACATGTCCACCATCGTTTTTCATTATCACCAACTTTTGTCACCTATTCACACCACACACACCTTTCACGGCATGGTCATGATTTTATTACTTGTATGTTTTTACCCGCTTTACTGCGAGGAATTTTATGGCCCTTATACAGCCGCTAATCACAACCATTGTCCACATTCCTTTCTCATGAACTGGCGCTCTTTGGCCAGCAAATGGCCCTTGCGCCAAAAACACCATATATCATCATCACCAATCTGTCACCTTGGCACGACTTTCGACAGCAGTTCGTCGATACTTTCGCTAATGTCGATCGACGGGATTGTGCGCGGCAGTTATTGGAGCTACAGGTTTAAAAACCAAACGAAACTTTTGCAATGTTTCCCGAGGACATGACTCGTCTCTTTCGTCAAGCTAACCCGCACATGACAGAAGATAAAAAGTTGAGTTATTTTAGGCGCGGTGTCTAGAAACAGCTTTTCGCTGGGCTACTGTGCAAAGAAAGGCGCTCACACAGTATGCTCAGGGCAAAGAAAGGCGCCCACTCAGTATGTGGTTGTAGACAAATTGATGTCCTCTCGCTTTTCCGCATCGGTGTCTGTTGGTTCCTCCTGATATTCAGCATCATTGAATTAAGCCACGCACATGAGGTGCTTCTTGAAGTGTCGAGCACAGGTTTTGTCCTTCGATTTCAGGGTTCGCATACTCACGGGTACTTTTTGACGCCACTGGTCTGGTAGCAGTGGATCAGATGAGGCTGCGAAGAGCAGAATCTTCTCCTATCCTTTGCCATAACCAGACTTTCAGCTGGGAACAAAACACTTCATTGCCCTCTGTCCAGTTACCCTGTGTCTTCACACACAAATACGAAGATAAATTGTTCCTTCAAGCATGAATACGCACATTCAAGACATTTTAAAGAAAGGGTGTAACATGAAAATGTTCGGTCAACACTGCGGCACAGGCGTCCAGGCGCAGAAAACAAGCGTACGTCTACTCTGCCGATCTTCTTCAGCAGAATTTTTCGCCTGCTTTGTCTAAAGTTCTTAACAGTGTATCGCATATGTGTTAAAAAAAACGATACAGTGTTTTTATGTCGTATTTCATTATGAGTATGCGTATATATGTTTCGTTTGTGTGTCATACTGAGACAGCTGAGCAAACGGTTTTCTAGCAGACACACTCCGCGCTCGCCAAGTGACAAGTGACGTATTGCGGCGATCCCTGTTACGACCGAGCACGCCATGCTCAAATCAGCCAATGGCTGATAGATGGGCATTCCGCGAGTGATTTTTGAGCGTCTCCCATAGTTTGTCGAGGGAAGAGAAAGCAATTTTTAGCTGACTTTGATAATTTATTGTGAATTTATTGTGAATACGACGCGCAGGAGTATGTTATCACTCTGGACTTTATATGGGACACGACGGCGACAAAAAGACACGTCAAGAGCGACCGTTATCCCAATAAGGCTATTTCACAATTGTTTGCAAAGGACAGCATTTGACAAATGTTGCTTTACAAGTGCTGTGTAATGGGGCTACATCTGCTCATAACGTCCTCGATCTCCGACTTCTCCAAACTTGTCCAGAAATGCCTTTCTGGCTGCTCCAAGCCTTCTTTTCTGGTTTGAAAACATCTTTTTGGCTGCTTTAAGCCTGGTACAAAAGGCACTTTTGCCTGCTCCCAAGACTGCTCCCAAACCCATGTACCCTGTTCCACCCCTGGCAATCCGCATGCTCACATACATGTGGAACAACACGCTACCTGAAGTAGTCACAAACTGCTTTAGGCATCACAGCTTTTTGCACAATGCTTCTGACCCGGGTGTTATGGGTGATGTAGAAAACGGGGAAGAGATAGACGGGCGCTATGTAAATATTAAGTCCAGCTGATGTGCCCCTGGGGATTACCATAATGTTGCCGTTGCCAACAAAGTGGCCAACAGGGATATCGTTGCTCAAGTTTTGGATGGTGAAGGGGAATCGGCTGACAAAGACCCAAGTGATGCAGACGAGTGTCCACGCCACACCATGACAGAAGCTGCGCAATGCTTTGCCATTTTAGAGGACATCTGCATGGTTTCCTAAGACAGTGTGCACAGACTAAGCCACTTACACGAACTTTGCAAAACTGTCGCTGCCATAGCCTTCACAAAGAAGCAAACTGTGATCTCAGACTCGTTTAAGGAATAAAGGTCTCATGATGTAGAAAACATATTTCTAGGCTTGTGCGAATATTCGAATGCTTCGAATATTCGAACGAATAGGTGAGTATTCGAATTCGCTTTAATTCGAACTTAAATTATCGAATATTTTCGAAGTATTCGCAATGAACAAATAAATGCACATTAGTCTGTTTGTAAAGGTGGTTTCACTGCAATGTAGTAGTGCGAAGCCGTGAAAGCACCTACTTAGGAGAAATTTGCTTTGCCGCAAAGCCTCCCTTCATATATAAAGGGGCGCTGCAACACTTGCTGAGCATGGTCAGAAAACGCTGCCGATTGGTAGTCGAGGCTACCGAGAACACGCGAGGCAAGTATTAGAGCGCAGCACGTGGCCTGAAATTCGCAACGAATTTTCAAAGCTAAAAATTGCTCTCTTCCCTCGGCAAATGACACTACAAGCTCAAAAATCACTTGTCACAGCCAAGAAAGAAAATACGGCTCTGGTCACAATCATTGGTTGATTTGAGCATGGCGCGCTCGTCGCTATTGGACCGCCGCATGAGGCCGCCGCTTGTCCACAAATACGTGCAGGATCGCACTGAAAGGCCTCGTATTCGAGGAAAAAAGAGAGGAAAAAAATGCTCAAGGTCACTAGGCGCTCATGATGTTTTTTTCTTTTCCCGTGCCATCCTTCCCTACTTAGCTTCCAGCTTTTTTGACGGGTCGAGAATGGAGAATGCAATTGCAGCATGCGACAAATTTTGGGAACTCTGCTCGTACTGAACTGATTCTAGAAACTTTGTGGCGGTAAATTTGTGAGGTGACAAGCATGTTTACTGGCTCCATGGATACTTGAAAAAGTATTGCAGGGCCCCTTTTAAGGAACATGTTACCTTCAAATCAATTATTCATTTTATTAAGCTTGTTATCATTGTTTATGTGATTTAAGTATAATAAATGTTAAAACGATATGTATCTTGCAGGTTATCACTCAGATCCTACCGAAACTACTAATCAAGGTTGTTTTCACTTCCTTTCAACGAAAAAAAAAAGGTATTTGCATAGAGCCCCTATTTAAATTCAAAAGAAGTATCGTGCAGGTTAGTTAGTTTGTGATAAATATTCCCTTTTTTTCATATGTCATACATACTATTCGAATTCGATTTGAAATAATTTGACCAAAATCACTATTCCCTTCGAATTCGCTTCGACCCTGAAGTTCACTATTCGCACAAGCTTACATATTTCAAGTGTTTTGATGGTAATGGCGATAATTCGTACCCTTGGTTAATTTGGACATTATTTCCAGACCCGTGAAGTAGTTACTGACGTTACTTTAGTTGCTGTAGTCTACTGTAGTTACTTTGCCCATGGCCCAAGTGACATGAATATGCATATTTGCAGGCACAGCTGCGAGCCTTCATCCCGCTGATGCTGAAGTACTCGACTGGGCGGGGCAAGCCAGGCTGGGGCAAGGAGTCGACCCGGCCCCTCTGGTGGCCCAGTGACCTTCCCTGGGCCAATGTCCGCAGCGATGCACGCTCCGAGGAGGACAAACAGAAGGTCTGCTTACATTGAGGGCTCAGTGTCAAAAAGAGTAGTACTCCGAAATGAGTGCACATTCGTTAGAAAGGAGATCTTTGCTTACAGCTCTACAGCTGCAAGACCAACTATTCAAAGTTTTCATTCTTGTGATGCACTTCGAAATGTCAGCATTAAATGCTGATTTATCTCATTGCTTTGAGCACTCTGTTTTAGCCTCGTCTTCACTCTTGTTGTCCTCATCGTCATTTATTTGATTATGACAAACGGTGTTTGTCTCATCAGTAGTGAGCACAGCTGGTGTGCATGCTTTGCCGTCGTGCTGCACTTTAAGTTGAAATGTTTCTAAAGCATCAATGGTGAACGTTTTGGCAACTTCATGCCATAGCAAAAGACAAAGTTGGGCTAGTTGGTTAATGTTCATTTCATATCGATTAAAACGTGCTAATACTTATAACGTAGCTAGTTATTGTGAATGACCGGTTACAGCACGGTCTCTTTCAACTCCCATTTATGCTCCCATAGAAACACATTTATACGCATACCGCTCATTGTGCAGTTCCAAAAAATGAAAGACCGGTTATAATGCGGTAGCCAGAAAATGTTTGACAAAATCAGTAGTGCTCCTCAAAGGTGGTGTGCAGGGTGGGCCGCTGAGTAGTGGGCAGTAAAATTGTTACGGAGTGGATGCTGAGTGAATGAAGGAGAGGTGATATTTAAAAAAAAACAAAAAAACACTGAAGCAGCACTGTGGCAGCTTACCAAGTGAGGGAGGAGCGAGGTTAATTATATGAAGAAGGGTGGCCACTTGGGATGGTTGGTATTGCATTCTAAAAGGAATATACTTTCTTTGTGCACAGAATGTTTAGAAAAAGAAGTCAGATAGGACAGAGTGCACTAGTGTCCTTCGTCCTATCTGACTTTTTTATCACACAAAGAAAAGATATTTTTTAGCACACACACACAAAAAAGATATTCCTTTTAGAATGCCTAGATAAATGAAGAAAAGCTTTATACTGTCACCAACATTGCTGCAGCCCTTAGACAGAAGTGCGCACTCCACATGGTGCGTGCAATCGTATTCTCATCTTTAAATCTATGGTTTTATGCCACGAGCTTTCGTTTTTGGTGCCAGGGCATAAACCTGGTGGGCTTTTGTGGTCGCCGATCTTTTGGTGGCGAACGCAGACTTCGTATCATGTGCACTGATTTTGCTTCACTGCTTGAGCAGATTGAGTGCGATATTTGCGATGCCGGACCTTCGATGATGTCTTGGACAAACTTTCTGCGACAACTTGCCTAACTGCAGGTTAGGCCTACTCAGTATTTATTGCTTTTCATTAGCAGGCTATCAGTGTTGCGGTTTTGTATGGTATTAAAAAAATTATTGTGGTGGCTGCACTTAAAGGGAAGAAATACTTATAGCTAATAAAGACAATGCCATATGTGGCATGTGTTAACAGTGCCTCATATGGCATATCGCATATGGTTCACAATTCAATTGCATTATCTTGAAATCGGGCTGAGTGCCTGTGAAATCAACTGAGTGCCGGTGATATCGAATGTTGGTACCGCTTGGCGCACGAAGTTTCGGCCATGATTCGACATAGTTTCGGTGAAATGGGCATAATCGGGGCTGTCTGAAAGGCGAATTTCTGCGATGGCGCTTTCTCTCTTCTTCTTTTTTCTTTTTTTATGCCATTTATTTCGTTGGCTATGCGGGTCTTCCCACGTTAACTTTTGAACATTCAGAAATTTTAATGCTGGTAAGCACTTCACATCGCATGCCCCGATGCTCAGACACGCAAGGCTGCATGCTTAACACGTTTTGTGCAAGGGCAGCCTATGCAAAACGTTTTGATTATAAAGTAGACTCTCAGTTAACGGAACCTGAAGGGACCGGGAAAATATGTTCTATTTAACAGGAGTTCCGTTTACTGAGAGGTGAACCTGGGTGCAGAATACACTCCCAAAACCAAGCATTGCAGAGGCAATAGTTTCATTTAAGCAGTAGTTCCGTCTAACAGATTTCTGTTTACTGAGAGTCTACTGTAGTGTGGTACCACTTATAATGCAGATATTCGTGACTTACATTATAACCTGTACAAGGACAACAGAGAAAGTAATAGCACGTGTGCAGACTCACAACTAAAATTTTATTCATTGTAAGATGATACATATGCGGTAAACAGCATAAACTCATTTGCCAATGATGCTCAAGTGAATATCTAGTGTCTACAAATTTCATTCCACGGTCAGCAAGCACCACTGACTGACAGATCTCCGTGTTTTCTTAGCCGCATAGGCCTCATAGAGCTTTCATGTATTGGAGTCTTTATGACGGTACAAAACTAGGAATGTACTAATATTCGAACGAATAGTACTGTATTCAAATTCACTTTGATTAGAATTGAAATTGTTGAAAATTTCGAAGTATTCAAAATGAACGAATGGGTATACGGTTGAACCCCTTTATAATAGACACTGTATAAGAGACAAATGGGTATAAGATATACCTGTGTGCCTACAGTAAAAGAATAAGAAAATGCATACAAGCTACCCTGCTTGTAAGAGACATCTCATATAGAAGACAAGAATTTCTGCTCGGAGCATGCCCCTTGTAAAAGCGTTCATCTGTATATTAATCTGCATGTAACTTATAGGTGGCTTCACTGCAGAAGAGGATTGCTAAGCCATGAAAGTACAGTCAACTCCTCTTTAACGGAACTCGAAGGGGATCCATAAAACTTTTTCATTTATCAAAACTTTCATTTCAGCAAAGTAAACTTATTTAGTGAATCAAAACCTTTATTCAAATTGCACAAACCTCACCTTACTCATAAGGATGAGTAGGAGAAAAAAAAGGAATGAAGGGTGGTTTGTTCGTCAAGCTTCAGTTGTTTTTTCACAAGGTTCGCACCCATGCTTGACAAACTATGTTATGGACAATCCTCATGCTGAAAATAGCGCTGCAGAAGTTCAATGGCCTCTTTAGTTGATCGGTCTCGTGGCACCACTGCACTGGCAGTATTGTCATCACATTCATCGTTGGGTAGTTGATCCTCATTTTGCTACTTTGGCAATCACTTCCTTGTCAGTCTCTTCACGACAGTTACGAAGATTTTCATCAATTGATTCATAGTCCTGCAGTGTGAAAGAGGCAGAGGGCACGACCTGACTGAATACTGTCTCAATGGCGGGATCAACAGGGCTTTCTTCTTCATCAGGTACAGCTTTCTTGTGCTTGAAAGCCAGCATGGTGAAAGCATCTGTGTATTTTTGTTGCCTTCACTTGCTCGCAGGCACATGCCAAAATGTGGATGGCCGCCAATAAATCTATGCTGTAGCATTTCCCGCTGCCTGCTCTAGGCAGCATTAGATGGAGAAATTGTCCGCGGTAATGAACTTTAATGTTCTGAATAACGCCTTGATCCATCGGCTGGATCACTGCCGTTGCATTGGCTGGCAAGCCATCACTCCAGAGTGATGGCTTGGAGTCCTTGAACATGACTGTGGGTTGGGCAATTATTCACAATGAAGACAACCTTCCTGCCTTGCCTCGTAAATCTTGCGTCTTCCTCCCGAAGCCAGTTTTCGAAAATGGCCATGGTCATTCACGCTCTTCCGTTCCCATGGTACCTAACAGGAAGGTGTCGAACGCCTTTGAAACAACATGAGTACTTTGATTTTTCTATTACCAACAGCTTCAATTTCTCATCTCCTGCCATATTTGCGTCGACCAGCACAGTGATGTGCTTATACTGCGTTTTCCTCCACTACTGGCTTCGCCTTTGAATGTGAGAGTCTTTAATGGAAACGCCTTATAAAAAAGACCCATCTCGTAGACAGTGAAGACGTCTCGTGGCTAAAAGCTCATCAATATTTCCTTAAGCCGCCCCTGTTGCCAGTCGGTGCAAATAACCCTGTTGAGTGCACCACTCTCACCTGAGACTGCATTGAAGACTAGGCCATGGTGGGTTTTGAAGTGGCTAAGCCATCCGTCGCAAAGTTCTTACACCCATTTGCATGGCGATCTCTCAAGCTTTCTGCTCAAGAATTGGTCTGCTTATGAGCTAATTGGAACTCCAGCACGCTTGAACCACAGAAAAGGAACTTTTTTTAGTTGTTCATAAGGCGTTGTCTGCATCCGTTTAGATCTAAAGGTCCCGTTCTTAACAGTGCCTTCAATCTTTTCTCTGTCTTTCCAGATCTGCGAGAGCATTGATTTCAGGATGTACGTATTTTGTTTTGTAGCTTCGTGTTGCAGGTGATTTTCAGCCGCGACTCTCGCGAAGTACTTTGCTTGTCGGGGCATCATGATCGCTCATCATGATCAGTCTCGCCGCTTGCACAGCTCATGCGAAGAACTTGAGGTACAGGCGTGAAAAAAGAACGTGCTAGGGTTTCGGCCAGAGAGAACAGCCGTAGCCCTGTTCCATTCATCGCTTCACCTTTTAAAGCGGCGACGACGCCGGCACGGTCACTTTGGCCACCGTTACGTCTCTCACTACAGCCTGTCGCTTAATGTTGCTTTCCCAAACAAACACTGACATATAGTTGATTAAAAGTAGTGTAAAACAAGACCAAAACAAGAAAGTGAAACACCGCAAGTGTTTCCTCACAACTGAAAGTTTTATTGCTTGAGCAGTTTTACTCCTGTAATGAACACAAATTTTATCTAAAAAAATCGGAGTAAAGTCGGGGGTGCGAGCAAATTTTATGAAAACGATCGGTATGAGCAAGAAAAATGTGGCAATGCAAAAAAAGTAAGGTCGCTCAGCTACTTTGTGCACTTTACTCATCTTCAGTGGTTCAAAGTGCTCTTCTGTAAGCTGTTCCTGCGCCGCCTGTGCACGCCTTAAAAGCGTTTCGCGGCTATCTTTTCTCGCAGCTTTTCAACCTCAACAGTGGTATCTGCTGTGATCTCGAGGGGTGCCGAGAAGCGTGCGCAACGCCACGACGCAATTTGCCAACTTAATCATGGCCCTCGCACAATGACTGCGGCGACGCTGTTGACATTG